AGGACAGATATTGGGAGGTAGGAAGAACATGTTCGAAAGGGAAGGGGAATGGGGGGAGGGAGGGAAAGGGGATTTAAAAAACGAAGAATGGAAAGAAAAGATGGAAACAAAGTTTTTAAACGGGGAGGGGAAGAAGGGTGAAGGGAGGGGAAGGGAATGTGGAAAAAGAAAAAGAATTAAGATATATTATATACAGGTATGAATTTCCTATGATGAATGTGAGAACTATGTATGGCAAATACGTAGCAACACAATTTTTTTTAAAAAAGAAAAGCATTAAAATCTATGGCATGTTGCTAGGAGAAAAGCTGACTTTGGGGACTAAAAACAGTATGGACTACAGGTGTAATTAAATATTTTCTAAAGGAACAAGTGGTGAATATTTCAGGTTTTGTAGCCCACGTTGGTCTGTCACATGACTTTATCCTTCCTTCCTTCACCTCTCTCTTTCCCCTTTAAAAATACAAAAACCGGGCTGGGGATTTAGCTCAGTGGTTCCAGCGCCTGCCTCGCAAGTGCAAGGTCCCAAGTTCGATCCCCAGTACCCAAAAAATAAAAAATAAAATAAAATACAAAATACAAAATACAAAAACCATTCTTAAGCTTGGGCAACAAAAAAGCGGGCTGCAGTTTTCTGGCACTGCCGTAGATGACAATACTTCATTTCCCACAGTGTTAAGCCCTGTGTCCGGCAAGGAGAGGCCATCCCCGCTCCGTCAGTATGGAGCTGGTCTCCCTGTCAGCCTTGAGCCACACGCTACCCTTTCTGAAGGTCAGAGCAACCGGGACAGCTGTTTTAGACACCACCGCCCCCCCCACCCCGCCCAGCACTGACCGAGATTCTGAATTCAGAATGCACCCTATGGCACTCTTGCTTTTCTATTAGAGCTAGTCAGGCTTACTAGCTTATTTTTACTTATTTGTACATATTTTTGAGCATGGTCTTTGTTTTTTGTTGTGCTACACTGTTTAGGCATTCTTATGCTCATCATTACAGAAAATGTTTTTATTAAGGTATGGGCCAAATTAACAGAATTCTTAAATTCTTTAAGAGCTCCATATTTATTCTATTCTTTCCCTCAGGTATTCAGTCATCAAAACACATGTCTTTTAGACACCTGGCACATTCCTGGCACTATTTTAGGCACAGGGAGATAGCAGTGAAACAGACCAAAATACCAGCTTACCTCCTGGTGAGGGGAAGCAGCAAAAATAAGTTACATATATAGAATGCTATATGCTGGAAAGTACTGTGAAGAAGAACCAACCAGGGTAAGCTGGAATAGGTTTTGCAGCTGGGGAATATTTTGAAACTGGATAAGCAGCCATTTTTCTATTCAAAGCTCCCTGATGTGTGCTAGCCATCCTTCTAAGAAATACTCAATTGGAATAATATATGTTGCTCTTTTAATCTATGGAAGGTTTGTAGATTCAAGGTAGTGGCAAATGTGGCATTGCAAAGAAACTATTTCTCTCAGATTCTCAACTGATAGAAATTTGTTTCATGATTGATATTTCAATAAATATGTATTGGGTATTGGTTATGACCAGGCATTGCACCAAGCCCAGAGGGACCCTTTTCTCAATAGGATAATCACCAGAAGACATGGTAGGTGGTGGCAGGGACGTGCCTAAGTGTGGTCGGCACATGGACAAGAAAGCAGTGAGTCCTCCTCGGTGGGCCGAAGGGAGTGGATGGAGTGAGGGGGAAATTATCACGAGGCTGGACCTACAACTATGGCTAAGGCTGCAAAATACATGGAGGATTCATCATGAGGAGTTTTTTAAGGGATGGATTGACTTTAATTATATGATCAGTCTATTTCATTTCCTATTAGCATTGGACAGTTAGATGATAAATACTTGAAAAGATGCGTGGTCACCCAGTGAAATAAAAACACTGCCCCCAAAGCATTAATCTGCTGCCAGTTAGTGACATTTCTGTGGAACATTAGATTTGGAAAAAGTTATTCATGGAACTGTCATTATTTCAGCTCCTTGAGTTGTCCTGACGATAGCTATCCATTAGACCAGTGATGGCAAACCTTTTAGAGACTGAGTGCCCAAACTGCAACCCCAACCTCCTAATTTATCCACACAGTGCCAACACTGCAATCAAACCTATACACTGAGGTTAGTTTAGAAAAAATAACTCATACACTTGGCTTGCGTGCCGACAAAGAGGGCTCTACATTTCCACTGCAGCACACGTGCCATGGGTTCACCACCATGCATCAGACTATAAATCACAAAAAGACATTTGCTTGTCTTATTTGGTTGGCAATAGGCTCAAACACTTTTTTTAAAAAGACCCATATCAATCTGCTTCTCCTAATGCTAATGCATCTGTGTGCAAGAAACAGAACACGAGAGTTAAACTTAGAATTTTCTGGCCTAGTATGACATGTAGATTTTCTTTAAGATAAATCTGGGCTTGTTATTTTCTTTCATTAATGAATACATTTAGTGTCATTTAAAAATAGATATATTATATGGATTATGTGAACAGATACAATTTATGAAAATTTTAAGAGTTTAAAAAAAGGTGCCAAGTGTGTTTCAAAATATTTGTCAATAACATAATTTTCTTTTTGAGTCCTCTAAGATCTTGAACGTTTTGGAGTCCATCTTAATACTGCTTTAGAAAATTTATTTTTCCAAAATATGTTTTGGAATACTTGAGTTTATAAAAGATATTCCTATTTAGTAACTTCTGTCTTTTTAAAAAGGTGTAGATGGAAAAAGGAAATTGAACCCCTGAGATTAAATTCATTGTCTTGGATCCAATTTCTTCCCACATAGCATCTGCCTTTGATTTCCCCCATGCAACAAATGGATACGTTTCTAGTGTCCTACATAAAGTGTACAACGTGACTCAGACCTGTTTAAGGGGCTGTAATGTACTATTAGCAATGATAGAGAGAATGGGATTATTTAATGTTTGTAATTATGTAAAAGCCCACAGCTTGCCAATTTTTAAGACCCTTATTTAGGTCAAATCATTATTGATTTCTTTGCCAATGGTACCCAGATTATAAGAAATTATATTCAAGTGAAGGAATGAAATCAAGACATTTGCGATCTACTTTTGCTTCTGTTTCCATATATCAATGTTTAGTCTTTTCCCTCACTGTATTTAGTTATAAAATAAAAAAGGACACCACTGGGAAGATTGACGTCTTAAGAACTTAAGTGCAAAGTGCCTTCATTAATATTCCCTGTATGATTTAGATTTGCCAAATCATAGCATTAAATTTCTGCTTTCACAAAAAGGCTAAAATGCACTGAATTCAAAAGCCCTACAAAATAGAGATATTTATTATGTGCCCTTTTTCAAAATGGTAACTCTTCACTGAAATATTTAAAGGTGTTTCCGAGAATTTTCCAAATGACAAGGATGATGCCTGAATTTTAAATGTTTTATGTAGGATTCACCAAGCTGGTGCAAAATATGAAAGATGAGGGCTTCTACAGAAATTTACTAAAGTAAAAAAAAAAAAAGAAAGATTTGAGACGGCAGAATTTGGGGCGCTCTGGGCACCAATTACTAAACATAGAAACCAGCTGGAAAGCTTGGACGCTGATCTATTTGTTTTTACTTTGCTGCCCCCCTGTGGCTGATATTCCCAAGGCCGCGACCTGGGCTGGAAATTAGTCACTTCCCTAGTTTGAAAAAGGGAATTCTTCTCGTTCATTAGAGGACATACGAAGGGAAGGGTGTGAACCTTTTGTCTTGCTTGTCACAGAGGTTTTCTAATAAAACAATTCTTGCATTGAATTCATTTTAACACTCATGGCTTAATTCTTCACAGTGGTCAGAAACATTTGGGACCGCCTTGCACACTACCCGCCCCTCATGTATCACTTTGTCCTCATTTATGGCGCTCCAGCCATGCCGGTCTTTTCTCAGTCCCTCAAATGCGCGCTATTCACTTCCTCTCCAGGGCCTTTGCACATGCACTTCCCTCTCCCTAAAACACTACTCTGCTTGTAACACAAGCAAAGACTCCCTGTGCTTCAAGTCTCAGCTTCAGTGTCATCTCTCTAGATGCTGTGTGTGTGTGTGTTACTGGGGATTGAATCCAAGGCCTCTGCACTGAGCCTTGTTTGTTTGTTCGTTTTTAATTTCATTTTAAATTTTGAGACAGGGTCTCACTAAGACACTAAATTGCCCCAGGCCAGGCTCAAACCTGCAACCCTCCTGCCTCGGCCTCCAGAGCCACCGGGAGTACAGGCGTGACCACCGGGCCTGGCGCCAGAGGCCTTTCTTGACAAGCATGTGGACATCCCTTCCCTGACACCCTTGTCGTCCCCGTTTATTGTTACCATAGTGATCTCGTGTTGCTGCGGTTTAATGTCTCTTTCCTCGTGTGGTTGCTAGCGCTGTCCGCCTGACAAGGAGGTAAACTCTGAAGCATGGGGCCTGGTGGTCACCCGCGGCCCCTTGCCCTCCACAGTGTCTCTCTGGAGAGAGCTCGGCAGACGCCCCCTGGGGGGAGACATGAGTGGGCGTGCGACCGTGGACAATCGCCCGCTCAGCGCTTCGTTCCTCTCCTCCCGCACGTTTCTCTTCGGCCTCGGCTCCTCCTGCCGGGCCTGGGCCTTCGCTTCCCGCGCTGGCAGCCTGCTTCCTCTCTGGCTCTTTTCTCTTTTTGCTTCCTTTTCCAGCTTGGGGCTCAAGCCGCTCGGCGGGCGCTCCGTGTGCGAATGGTGCCAACGTCGCTGCCTCCCTGACGCCGGGCCCACTCACCTCTCCACCTGGACGCCTTCCCGGCGGTTCATCTTCACCGTGTCCAAAGCTGAGATCACATCTGGGCCCCTACTGCTGCAGTCGTCTTCCCAGTCATCCGCACTCACAACTTTGGAGTCTGTCTCGCCTCGCCGTCTCCATGGTCCTACTCTACGGAAAGCCAGCGTGATCTTCCCTATCCTGCATGGCTAGACCTGAAAACCGAGACCCCATCCCCCGGACATGCCCCGCAGGCCAGCAGGGTCATTACCCGGAAGGTCTCCGCCTCGTCGCCCACGAGCCCAGCGATGGCCTGCAGGGGCAGCACCGGCCCGTAGATGGGGTCCTTGGGCAGGGACTGCGGGAACAGCGCATCCGCTTCATTAAAGGGCGACCCATCCTCCAGGGGGAGTTTCACCGACCTGCGGAAGAAGAAACGTCAGAACGAGAAGATCAGCAGAAAGCACTTGATGTATGTCAGTGCCAAGTGAGGTGGGGGGGTTATGATCCAAAAACACAGAAGAGACAAACAGTGCATTTTACAACACGTGATACGGCATGCTACGAAAGGACAAGTTACGCAGTTATAACTTAAGCACACAAGGGCTGCCTACCAAATGTTCCAAAATTAATATCTAAAGCAGAAATTATAAATACCGGTGGGGGTCAGGCAGGGAACCTGTAACCAGCAGGAAAGCGTTTGTCCCTCAGTTCTAGCCAAAAGTGTTGTTGACATGTGACCATTTTTGTTCCAAAATCTTAAGAGAATGCCATGAGCTGGATATTTATGAGAAATATCTCAAATTTTAAATACCAGCAACTAATTCAAATAAAAAGCACTATGGTTAAAAGAAACATACAGGTTGTATTCAGCTACGTTTAAAACTTCCAACATCAAGAATTCATTTTCCAATTCACTTTAACCATACAACAGGGTATGTAAGGGTAAATTTGTAAGGGTAAATTTGGATGGAGGGGGTGAAGGGCGCACAGGTAGTGGGGAAAAAAATAAGAACTAAGATACATCATGTACAGGTACAAGCACCCAATGATAAATGTAAATGTATTGTATACCTAAAATGTACCAATAAAAGAATTTTTTAAAAAGGTAAATTTGGAGAATTCATGGCTTCATGCACAAAATTCAAAACTTTCTTGGTTATGTTCTATGAATGGTAAATAATTCTGAAAAATGATTACCTAAACGGTGTGCCTACTACTTAAACATAAAGTTTAAGTGTTTTCAAATCCTGCTTCTCTCATGAATTGGAACAACAATCCACTCACTGCATCTCCTACTTTACTGGGTTATGGGAAAATCATATAAATCAACATTCAGAACTAGACTAACACATAACCTAGGGGAGCAAAGGAAGAAGGGTGTGATAAATCAACTGCTGACCCTGGTAAGGATCTGATAGAGACACCACCACTTTGTTGAAAGATACAATGTTGTGAACTCCCACTAGTGAGACATTTGGCTACTCAACTGGATTCTTGTAAAAATAAACCTCCAGAGTACTAAGCTGAAAGAAGTACCGTTTTTAGAGTTCTCCAGCTTGAAAACTTTGCTTTAGTGGATTTGCATTTCACTTGAGGCAATTTTTCAAAACTTGCAATTTCAAGGGTAGGCCTACCCAACATCACTTGCTCTTGACTACATGGAGTAGGCTGTCAGTGTCAGCCCCTGGCACCTGGAGTCTTTGAATCCATTGTCAATACAGGACTCACTATCATCGACTACTGTCATTATCACCAATGTGTTCCAGAATGTGTCTTTGACTCGTTTCATTTTATTTTATTTTATTTATTTTTGGTACCGGAGATCGAACTTGGGACCTTGCGCTTGAGCAGCAGGCGACGAAACCACTGAGCCAAGTCCCTGGCCCCAACTCATTTCATTTTAAACAGGTAACCTCCATGCCTCCACCCTAAGCAACTATCATTGTTTGTGGACAATGTGGTCGAGTGTATACCGTAATCTGTATCTGAACACTTCTCGTATCCAACAGCTTCTTATTTTGGGGATTTTAGTAGGGAATCAAAGTTATAGGATCAAAAAGCCATAAATGTCCTTTTTATACAATAGCCATGCTTTGAAATAGTAAGGACAAATCAAAGTTTACAAAAGTCATGTTGGAAGAAGCTCTTAGAACACTTGATTCTTAAACTGATTGGAAGATCGAGTGGAAAAAGAATCTTTGTGAAATGCACACAACCATTCCAAAGCAATGATACGTGTAGAAAGATATTACAACTTATAAGAGCATGTGTACGTGTGCGCATGCGTGTGTTTATAAAGACACTTCATTTGTCCACTTGGCCTAGTCACATCACATAAATGGGAACAAAGATCACCGCTTGGCTGCTGGGCAGAAATAAAGCCTCCTACTTTGCTTTGAAACAATGCTCCTGGTCACTTCTTTCAATGGTCCACACTGTCACTGTGCTTGGGCTTGACAAGCACAGCTGGTGCCAGTTCATGGGATTGAAAGACATCTGGCTCACATCCACTCCTGGCTGGGATTGCTTGCACAAGATGACATTCGATTCCCAGTTCCTTATAAGAAAACAGCATTGGAAGAAAGATTGATTAACTTAAATTTCATGTCTTGAGAACATTTATCTAATTGTTTTATGACAATTTATGTAAACTGGGACATAATTTCTGATATAATTTTATAACCAATGATAGTAATATCAAAATTATAAATAATTATGCTTAACCAAATCCCTCTAAGAGACAAAATACTATATATGTACATATTTTTTCAGTACCAGGAATTGAACTCAGGACCTTGCACTTGCCAGGCAGGCATGGCGCCACTGAGCTACATTCCCAGCCCAATATTTTTTAAATATGTCGCTGGGTGTGGTGGTGCATGCCTGTAATCCAAACACTCGGGAGACTGAAGCAGGAGGACCACTGTGAGTTCAAGGCCAGTCTGGGCTACAGAGTGAGTTCAAGGCCAGCCTGAACCACAAAGAGAGACTCTGTCTCAAGGGGAAAAAAAAAAAAAAAAAA